TCCCCCTCTCAGACATTATTTGCTGTATGGGAAATAATACTGACCCAGTTTACAGAACTGTTGTAAAGTTGATTATGACCATAATGTACTGTCTGCTACAAAAATGTCAATCTGTTGGCTTGGGAGCTGGAGGGAGGTAAATTAGGCCGGGGGTATAAGTGGAAGGTTAGAAGCTGATAGAGAGAAAAGCTGGAGGTAATTCACTGTCTTCTAGAGCCGGACTGGATAGAAAGGGGGAATTACGTGGAGAATCAGCTTATCAGTTTAAGAGGGAGGGGAAGTTGGCTGGAGGGCAGAATGTTGGTAAGGATCTATTGGCATTTATCTTTTAAAAAGCAGTTAGTGGGTCTGAGAAATCAGTGCAGATGGGATTCTTAGATCCCTTAGATGAAGGTTTCTGTATTAAAATAAATTCTTACTGTAAATATGCAGGGGATTGTGGTTATATATAATTGTTGCAAACCACTTTGATTTTTTTAAACTGAAATTGCGGTATACACGTATTTTTTTTATTTAAAAAGATATGTAACAGTGCCCTCACTAACAAACATATCTTTATACTTATTTGCTTTTCCATTCTGTTATGAATAAAACCTGTTACGTTGTTAATCTCGATCTGCCTCTTCATAGAATTCCTGTTTTAATAGTTTGAACATCCACTCCAAAACAATGTATATATTCGTAGTGGGACCATGACACGAGGAATCACAGTCTTTGAAACGTTGCTTCTCGGGTCAGGTCTATACATGTAGCAGAATGAATGGCAAAATAGGCTGAACGGCTTCAGTCTGCAAGTTGTATATGAGAGAGAGAGAGCGCATGCATGTGTGTATGTGTGCACAGGTGTGTGAGCATGCAACATTATCCAATGTTTTACAGCAGACCTTTCTTCCCAATCTGCTAGTTGTATATTTGCAGGAGCATTCCACTGTGACTCTCCCGCCTGTTGTAGGAAGTGGTACAGTCCCTTCTGGCACTTCATTCTGCTGCTGTGTGCGTAGATGAAGCCTTCGTGGTCCCTCCTATGAAACATAACCATCCCCTTTCCGAGTTTGGTTCACCTTTCTATGAAAGAGCTTGCCTTTGGGTTTGGTGCTCCTATCTCTTGGGAAATCCATCTGCCTTGTGGTAAGGAGAGAGGCTGCCCCTGCTGCCTGGAGATGGGTCACTCCTAGACTGAGTGATGATGACAAGCCTCTCTTTCACTCCAAATGCTCTTTTCTCAGCAGTGAGATAAATATGATGCCTCCATTAGATGGCATCCAAACAATACAGATGTTTAAAGCACCTGCTACCAATGAGTTGCATCCCAAAGAATGCTTAGAAGATGAAGAATCAAGGCTTGCTGTTCTAATGTTTACCTTTTCCCCCTCATGGCACAGCTCATTTCCAGTGACGCTGATGGAGCTATCCAAAGAGCTGGGCGATTCCGGGTGGAAAATGGCTCTGTTGATGAGGTAGGAGGAGGTCTTTGCCTTAAGGCTTGTTTTCCTCAGATTGGTTAGGCATTGGCATCATAACAGTGGGCAGATCTACACTCCTGGTTTTTAATGCTAAAAAAGAGTTAAGGAATGATTCTGATAACCATATAGCCACTTGACATTCTTTTTTAACGTTCATAATGCGCTGCAGAGCAACCAGAAAACAGGGAAACAGTGGGGAGAAAGAGAAAGCAAAACAGAATGTTTCCTGCTTTGATGTTTTTAGAACGATATTTCTAATATTGTTCTAATAATGTTTAAAAGGATCCAGCCAATGTATCAGAGTGAAAAATAATTGTTTTTATTCTGCTCTTCTGCCAAACCAGGCCCCCTGAACAGCTTACGAATAGCAGTGAGAAGACTGATCCTGCTGTCAGGCTCACAATCTGAGAGATATGACATAAGAGGAAAGGGGACTGGGAAGGAGGAGGGAAAAAGCAAATTCAGGCACTAATTCTTAGTTACAGAGATCTTGTTGTAAACAGCAGGAGGTAGCCATCAAATTGGAGCCTGGAGCAAGAATCAAGGGGTCCAGTTGATTGTTATAACACAGCCAAGAGTCAGGAAAGATTTTCTCAGTCTAGACCTAAACAGGAAGTCATTTTCAAAGCCTTTCCTGTTCATGAGAGCCAATCACCAGCCCTAGTGGGTTGACTCACTACAGTGCAAGGGAACTCCAGTGCCCTGGTATCCCTACTACAGGTTTCTCTGGTTTACACCTTTTTGCAAGCTGGTTGCCCTAATATAATACATTTTGTATGTTGTGTTCACTAACACATTCTTTTTATTATACACATTTTTACCCTAACATAGTAGATTTCTTGGAGAATGCCAATGCTGTTGGGGCCTCTTGTATTTCAGCAAGGAAGGCATTCCACAGCACTGGTGCCACCAGTGAAAAGCCCACCTCTGCATTATCACAAGCCAATAATCATCAGAGTGTGGCAAAGCTAGCCAGGTTCCATTTGTTCATCTTAGTGCCCTTAACAGGCAATGGTGGGGAAGACAGTGTTTCAGGTAACCTGGTATAGAGTTGTTTAGTGTTTTACATCTAAGTAGCAGGACCTTAAAATGGGTTCAGTTGTTAATAGGCGTCAGGCGCAGATCCTCTAACATATGGACACCCAATAAGGGGCTGGGCTACCAGCTGCTTCAAATGCCTACTTCTCCCTCTCCCCTCCTCCATTCCACGTCCTGTTTGCTATTTCTGTGTGGGGAGCCTTGAATTAAATGACTTCCTGGTTTCTCTTTTCTTTCCAGAACACAGATTATGCCCCTGGTACATGGCGCAGAACAGATGTGCATTTGGAGAACCCGGAGTACCACACCAGATGGTACTTCAAGTATTTTCTAGGAAAAGGTAGTTACACTTTTTTATTTGCCTGCATCAGTTACAACATTATTGAATAATCAAACTGTGCTTTGATCATTAGCAGTGTCTTCTCTTGCCTTGATCAGAGTGAGTTTCTCTCTGAGAGTTCCTTTTTCAAATGAGACCATTTTAACTTTAGCCATGTGACCACATCTATGCAACCACCTTTTTTGACTGATAGGCCTGAGTGCCCAGCCTTTAGAGTATATGTTATGGCAGGTCTCCACCATCTTGTCCTACTTGGCTAAAAGAGACTGAAGTGTGAATGGCCCCTGTTCAAACCTCACCTCCATAATAGCAAAGTAAGCCATCTGTGTTCAGAGGCAGTGGCATTAAATTTGGTACCAGTCTTCGCACAGGGAATTTTGCATGTGGCACTAAGGTGCTTACTCTATGAGCAATGGGATTCCCCTGTGTGTACAGTTTGGGTTCCTTTGCAGGTTGGTTTTGCATTTTGTAACAGACACTGTTTTTGCTCCCCAGTTCATCAGAACTATGTAGGAACAGACATAGAGAAGAACCCCTTTTTTCTGTCTGTCGTACTCTCTGACCAAAACAATCAGCGTGTTCCTCAATACCGTGCAATCCTCTGGAGAAAAACAGTAAGGGACAAACATTTTGCCTGCTCTTTTATATTGGTTCTAATTGTTTAGCTTAGTTTCTGACAATCCATGGTAATCAGTGGAGCATGCCAAGCTAGAAAGGTTATGATAGAAAAACAGGCCCTCCTTCCATTATAAGTAGTTTCTTTCACCCCGACTTGCAGCTTACTTATTTGCTACATTCCACAAAGGCCTTTTGAATCTTTCACATTGTTCAGATGCACATTTAAACCATGGTTTATTGTGAACCAACCCCATATGACAAACTATGGCATAAGTTATGGTTCAAGCTACAGTTAGCACAAACCATGTTTGAGGGTTACATCTGAATCAACCCTCACCCATTAGTGTTCTGAATATTTTTGTAATTGATTGAATTAACTTAGTATTTTCATTTGTATAGAAAAAAACCCAAAGTCATCTGAGAAAGAGCATCTGTCTTAACTCAATTCTCTTCTAGGGTACTCTGAAAATATGCCTCCCTTACAGTCCTACCAAAACTTTGTCTGTGAAATCTATTTTAAGGTAAGCAGTTAAAAACAATTCAGCAGAGATTATGTTTAAAAGATCATTGCAGCAGATATTACTCATTGTTGCTCCACATGAACAGACAACACTGAAATTTACAATTTCACCTACATTTCAGTGCCATGAATCTTGACAAATTTGAGAAAGGCCCTAGAGAAATTCTTCACCCTGAAATTCAAAAGGTGAGCTTTGCAAAGCTTTTTCAGTATTTCTTTTCTCCATCCTATTTTAAGAGTGTTTATTTTGTGGAGCCAGTTGGGGGTGTCTTTTGGAAACAATTGCTTCAAATACAGACTTCAAGAAATGTGTTGTATGAATGTGGTGAGTTTCTTTGAGGACTCCATCCAAAAGCCACAGATCTAATAAATGGAATTAAATGTTTCGCAGAGAGTTTTAAGCTGGTGTAGCTTAAGAACATAAGAAGAGCCTTGCTGGATCAGGCCAAAGACCCACCTAGTCCAGCATTCTATTCTCACAGTGGCCAACCAGATGCCCCAATGGGAAGCTTGCAAGCCAGACCTGAGCACCAATAGCTCTCCCTCCCTACTTGTGATGCCAAGCAGCTGGTATTCAAAGGCATACTGCCTCCCACGGTGGAGGAACTTAGCCATTGATAGTCTTCTCCTCCTTGAATTTGTCTAATCCTCTCTTGCTCCATTTGCTTAATCACTTTGGGTTCCCTTTTTTGAACCTTTGCCATCTCTACAATATCCTTTTTTGAGGCATCCACAACTATACAGAGTATTCCAAGTGTGGTTCCACCATAGATTTGTATAACAGCATTATGCCATTGGCAGTTTTATTTTCAATCCTTGGTGTGTTCAGTGACAAGCCCATGAGCTGGAATCCAGCATCTGGGTGGTGGTCTCATCCTCTTGTGGAGGATAAATGATCTATCAGAATGTGTGCTGTGATATCTAAGAAGGAAACCTCAGTGCAAGGCGTGATGAAAGAGAAACAAAGGCAGTAAGAAAAGGCTGAAGTCTAGCAGGCAGAGAATGGAAGGTCAAAGCAAGGGCTGTGGCTCAAAGGCAAAGCATCTGCTTTGCATGCAGAAGATCCCAGCTTCATTCCCTGGCATCAATGGGTAGGACTAGGAGAGACCTCTGCTTGAAATCGTAGTGAATCACTGCCAGTCAGTTTAGACATATTGAGCTAGATGGGCTAATGCTCTGACTCAGATTAAGGCAGCTTCTTGTGTTGCTGTATCTTAAGAGAAGGGCTGTAGTGCAGGGGTAGAACATTTGCCTTGCATTGAGAAGGTCCCAGGTTCAATCCCCAACATCTCCAGGTCTGAAACTGTGGAGAGCCACTGCCAAACAGTGTACGCATTGCTAAGCTAGATGGCCTAATGGGTTAACTCAGTATAAAGCAGATTCCTATGGCTGTTGTTTGCTAGGTAGTGGGGGTTGAATGTCTGAGAAGCAGGGGCAGAAGTTTGAATGTTCATGGAGCAGAAAGGAAAAATATAGCCCCTTGGTAGCACTTCAAGACGTGTGTAGAGACAAATTGGAAAGAGTTCCGCGGAGGCAGCAAAAACAGTCAGCAGTCTGGAAAACAAGCCCTGTGAAGAAAAATGGAAGGAAGTGGGTATGTTTAGCCTAAAGAAGAGAAGACTAAGGCGAGGGGAAGACAGGGGTTCTCCATCTCTGTCCTGGAAGAAAGCTGCATGAACTGTAGCCTGCCGAACAGGATAAAGAGATCATGAGCAGATGGCCAGCATATCTATGACTAGACTTAAGGGGTAGTGGCTGGGCACTATGCCAAAGCAGCAGGTGGCTTGTAACATCTTGTCCTGGACTCACTTTTAATTACATTTCCCTCTTTGCAGTTTGGACATTTCCTGGACCTTTCTGTTCAAAGGTTGAATGGGATTTTTTATCCATGTGGTTGTTGTTGTTTCTGGTTACCCACCCTTCACCCTAAGGTCCTAAGGCAGGTTACAAGACTTTAAAGTACAACAATTTAAACAATTTAAAAACTCGCAAGTACTTGACTAGGGCGAGATGTCACTTTTTCCAATCCTAACCAAGAGACCAGTATTGAAAAACAGTGTGGTTGCCGCTGCTTTTGTCTGAAAGCCCTGACCAGTTACATTTAGGGTGCAAACAAATGACAAATTAGATTGCTGGGTTCTGAATGAATATAAAAGCTGAATATATTTGTTCTTTTCCCTCCCCAGGATTTATTGGTTCTGGAAGAGCAAGAGGTAATTCACAATCTGATTCCTTTAAGTTACCAGGAGCCTATCTAACAAACATTGGTTTCCATTTTGAAAAGTACCATGTTCTATTCTGTGGGCTATGCTACTTGGTTTGATTTGGGGGGTGGGGGTGGTGTTGTACCCACAAATACTCTTGTGTGCCCCTCCTGAGGTCAACATAAGTGCAAAATCATGATTGAGAAGGCTGATTAGAGTTGGGAGCTATTGGTGAACCAGTTTCAGACCATGCACTTCTACAGATCTGTTGGGGACCCTGTTACCTGAATTCAGGAGGGGGGGAAACATACTTGCTCAGATTGCTGCTACTGCATATGTCTCACAAAATGTGCTGCTGAAAACACCAATTCCATCTCATGGGCACCCCTTCTCACCCACATTGGGCAGGAATACTTATCCCATGATGTGACAACCCTATCTTAATCCTGCCCTGCAAGCAGCAACCCATGGTCCAGAAAGAGGGGGGCGGGCATCTTGAGATAAGTATTGCACAGGTTCTGAAAGTGAGCAAAGGAACTCAACATGGCGTGTTGTTTTCAGTGCCCCGGCCCCAGTTACATAATGTGTGATTTTGGCCCGAGAAGTACTTATGAAACAATACTCTTTCCTTCTACAATGTTTTGGACTCTTGTGTTCTTCTTTTGTCACTACTGCTTGCCGCACCTTATTCCAAAGTACCAATTGCGAGAGAGGCCCATATATCAATTCAGTTTGATTATGGGCCCTTGAAAGTTCATGGGCCCATGGGCCTCACTTGCCTCTGCCACTAGCTCAGTCTGAGCCACTCATGTGGTGGGGTCAGGGTGTAAATCACAGCAAATGAGCTTGTGCTGATGCTGTATTGACTCATGGGAGCGATCCATGTCTTTGAAACAGAATGGGAAGTGTGAGTGCTGAGTGCCATAATTGAGTGTCTGCAGTCTCCCCTAACAATAACAATGATTGGTTTTCATACGTGCAATGGATTGCCTAAAACTGATGATATTCCTATTAGTGGTAGAGGGATCCACATATTTTAAATCTCCAAATTGGAGGAAGCTGGTGCCCAAATCTGTCCCATTCCAGACTTGTGTTTGTGCGGAGGGGGAGGGGATGACATGCTTAGCTCTGTTAGGGAAGTTTTTAGTGTTTGATGTTTTATTCTGTTTTAATATTCTGTTGGGAGCCACCCAGAGTGGCTGGGGAAACCCAGCCAGATGGTCGGGGTATGAATAAATAAATAAATAAATAAATAAATACATTTTTATTTATATCCCGCCCTCCCCAGCCAAAGCCGGGCTCAGAGAGGCTAACAACAGTAAAAATAGCACAGTTTAAAATTAGGGAATTTTAAGATAGCAGGCTTGCACGAGCAGTGTTACTGAGTGTGAGAGATAGGGATTTTGCATGTTTATTTTTGAAGATGTTTGTTGCTGGTGTTAGACACCTACAAAGTAGGGATATGGGGAAAAGAACCTAACAAGAAAATCAGAAAAACAAGTCAGTGTTCCCTGGATTTGAATATCATAAACTCCCACCGCAACAAAATCTTGCATTGTGGGCTACTGCTGTTCACTTTCCCAGTCACCTCTTCAAGACTACTCCATTCCAGCCCCTTCCAACTAGGTTTTCTGTTCCACTTGCAAATAATCAGCTAGCACTCTGTGCCCACTGAGGGCTGTTTTCCGGGTTTCCCCTCTTGTGTATTTATTTATATCTATTTATTTAATGAAATGTATATCTTGATTGTAAGAAAACCTCTGTGTTTTACTAAAATATAAAATAAACATTAAAATTCTCCTTTGAAAATAATTCAAAAGATTATTAAAATCTTCAGTAGCTAAAAAGAAATAAAATACATGTAACCTATATGTCTCTGGATAGGCTTGCCTAAACAGAACTGTTTTAAGCAGGCACTGAAAAGAGTTCAGCAAAAGTGTCAATAGGCAGGGAGTTCCAAGGTGTAGGTGCTGCCATGCTGCTGCTACAAACCATGGCATTCCACAAAGCCTGCTGATTCCCTTCCTTTTTGTGCATGGACGGTGCTGCCTTGGTTGTATAAATGACAGCACTCGTATCTGGAGATCAGAAATACAGACAATGCTGAGAAATCCAGTTATAAGAAGAAATAAAGACTTGTGAGTCCTGTTTGCAAGGCAATCCCTTTAATGGCTTCCAATTCAGGCTCATCCGCAGACAGCAGGTTCACGTTAACATTTTATTTATTTTGTTACAAATAAAAATACGCCTGACTTCAAATTCATGAGCAGGGCAGTTGCCCAAAAAGGTGGGTGGGGGATAATATAGTGTGCAAGTGAATCAGAACCTGAGCATATGAATGATAAACTAAAAAGAAAAATGAAAAACCCTGAGTAGAGTAAGATAAGGTTACCAGACGTCCCCATTTCCTGGGGACATTCCCCGGATTTACAAATAAAGTCCCCATGCAAAATCCATTGAAGTTGAAAAGCGTCCCCAGATTCATTGGGGGAAAAATCTGGTAACCTTAAAGAATATGGTTTGTCTTTCCAAACTGGTTTCCCACATCTTTCTGGAGCAGTGTGCAGGGGCTTGCATTTCTCAATGAATATTCAAATTCATGAAGTCTCCATTGCACATCCTGGTCCTCCCCCCCCCCAATTCACATGTATTTCTCTGGGATGCAGCTCAATATGATTGGAAGAGCTACAGCCCTACTCTAGCACCCTCTAGCTGTTAAGGGTTTAGAAGACGTACTCTGCTCATTGGCAAGTTAGGATGCAGGATTATTGTGGAACTGCCAAATTTAACTGCCAAGTTAAAAGGAGCACTTTCACTTTTCCAATATAAAGCTGTATCATTTTTTGAAGAATGCCAGTCTGGTTCCGTCTTACTAAAATACTGTTCCTGTTTCATAGGGCTCTGTCAATTTTAAGTTTGGAGTACTTTACGCCAAAGATGGACAGCTAACAGATGACGAGATGTTCAGCAACGGTGAGTCTGAAGATTGATTTCTATCTGAACTGAAGTGGGTGGGGAAATGTCTGTGTTTATGCCATTGTGCTGATCTTGGTTTAGATCTAGACCAGTGGTGGCCAGCTTTGGTGGTGCATTGGATTCTACCTGGCTGAACTGCTTAGAGGTGCAATGCCATCTCCCTTCAAACAGGAGGGGAAATCTGATTCCCTTAAAAAAAAAAAAAAAAAGGTTGGTGAGTGCCCTTGCCGAGGCAAAAGAAGAGGATTTCCCCAGGCACCATCTGAAACATCCTCTCCTGTTATTTCACAATCACTGCAATAGCCAATGTGGTGTCTTCCAGGTGATGTTTGACTCCAATTCCCATCAGCCCCAACCAGCATGGGCAAAGGTTGGGAAGATGGGAGTTGTAGTCTCCTGGTGTGCATTTTGTATTACGAGGCAGCATAAGCAGAAAGAGAGTCCTCTACTTTGAAAAGTTTACGCTCTTAACTTTTGTCAGATAGAGAATATGGTGTGGAGTGTAAATTGCACACATAGCAACCATACATATTTACCTTCCCTTTTTGTAAGGTACTTCCATACCCAGTGATTCTTTGAGCCAGCCAGGGTCATATCTCAGTAGTAGAGCATCTGCTTTGCATGTGTAAGGTCCCTGGTTGCCTTAAATCCTGAAGAGCCATGGACAATCATTGTAGACAATATTGAACTAGACTGACAAATAATCTTGGTATAAGGCAGCTTCCTACATTTCTGTGAATGCTCAGATTTAAGTGAAATCCAGGGCTGATTTATTTTTGTTACCATATTTCTCTGCTCATCAACATTATGTTGGCTTACAGAACAAAGAGTAGTGTGTTAAAAATGCAACACAATAAATATGCAATAATTAAAAGCTGCCTTAAAACCTTCCCTTTCTAGCAACTCAGAT